AAGTTGACCCAGTGTTGATAGCAGACACAGACAGGAAATTACAGGAACTCTTACAGAAAAAAAGAAAGAGAAAAAGGACTAAATATTACTTGGTTTGGTTTGGTTTACAGCATATCAACCTCGATGGGTTATTTAATGCCGACAAGATTTTTCATTGCTGCTAATTTTTTTGGTTTATTTTGGTTTGGTTTAGTTTGTTTTATTTTACGGCATATCAAAACTAATTGGGTTATTTAATGCCGACAAAATTTTTTATTGCTGCTAATATTTTTTTCCAAAAATGTATTGCTAGTAATTTTTTTCTTCAAAAATATATTACTGGTAATACTTTTTCCTTCAAAAATGTATTGCTGGTAATATTTTTTCCTTCAAAAATGTATTGCTGGTAATATTTTTTTCAAACATGTATTGCTGGTAATAATTTTTTCTTCAAAAATTCATGGCTGGTAATAATTTTTATAAAAATGTATTACTGGTATTAAAACTTATTTTTACACTTTCATAGTGTTTTGACCCCAGTTTTGGGTGGGGGTTAACTATTTGCCTATAGCTGGGACCCTAACAGGTGCTACCACAACGGGTTAGGGTGGACCTAGGAACACCAGAAATTAAGAATTGGTTTCACACTCGTCAAAACCTCCTGATCAGAGGCCTTGTTGTTGGATGTAGTTTATCGTCTTACCCAGGACGCGGAGGTAGTTTATCGTTTTACTCAGGACAGAAACCTCAATTGCAAGAAGATAGAATGCTTGGTTGTCAGCCAAAGGAACAATTCAACATGCGGTTTACAAATTGGAGATTCCAAAATCAATCATGTCCAACAATTTAAATATCTTGGAAATGTTTTAACACTGGACGGAAAATGCGACACCGAAATCCTAAGGGTCATTGGGATAGCAAAGATGCTTTTCAAAAGGTAAGCAAACTATTAAGAAACAGGAACATTTTATTAGAAACAAAGAATAGGGTACTGAACTGTTCCTGTATTATGGTAGTGAATGCTGGACAATCTCATCATAGATGAAGAGACTTGAAGCAAAAGAAATGTGGTTCTACAGAAGCATGATGAGAATACTATTAACAGAACACTTGAGTAACAATATAATTTTGCAGAAAATAGAAACCAAAGATAATATTTATACTCAATATCAGAGAGTTATAGTTCAAGTTTCCAGGGCACATAATGAGGAAAGAGGGTGTAGAAAATTTGCCACTCACAGGATATGTTGAAAGCACTTATAAATGACATAAGTTTACGGCCATATCACGTTGAAACACCGGTTCTCGTACGATCAGCGAAGTTAACCAACATCAATACCTAGACGGGTGACCACTTAGGTATATTAGGTGCTGTAAGCTTGGATGTGCAGGTGGTGTAACGGATAATGGCTCAGAGTTTGAGATCAGAGAGCCGAGTTCTAATTCCGGTCGGGTTAGTTATATTCAATTACGTACAAATACTATTGGAAGAGGCATGTATCTACCTCTCCCCCCCAGCTATAGGTTAATTAGTAGGACATGCAGCAGTGGATCATTATTATCTCCCAAAAACTTCTTGTCGTATATAAAGTATTTTCTGGCTTTAAATAACTTACAATGTGTTGGTAAACCGTAAAAAAACAAATCCATCAGTATGATAATGAATTAAAACTAAGCGCCTATAGTAAATGTACTAGTAAAAATGATCTCATAAATTTCTATTCTCGCTATAACAGCAAAATAAAATTAGGAATAATTATAGGATTCTTTGTAAGAGCATTTAGAATTTGTAGCCCTCAGTATTTACATGATGAAGAGAAATACATTAACAATACTTTAAGCCCTTTTAATCCCCTAATTAATTCATATTCTACATGAAACAGACAACTCATAAACTATTTAAAAAAGAACGAGCCATTCATGCAAATCCAATGAACTGAGATATATTACTCATCCTACCAACTCTGTCATAACTACAATTAAAAAATTTAACTAAGGTTAACATAAAATTTGTTACAACTACTTCTAAAACAACAAGAGACTTAATTAATACAAAACAAAATAATAAGAAGCTAAAACTGAAGGAGGAATTTACTCTATCAGCTGTAATAATTGCAACAAGGAATAAACCGAAGAAACCGCAGGGAATTTAAATAAAAGAATGTATGAAGAGAAAAGGGATCTTTTATAAAAACTACATTCTCAGTGTTTTAGTTGCTCATCGTAAGAGTCTGACAATAATTTTGATTTCAAAAATGTTGGTTTAATTAAAAAGAAAGCAATTTAGTAAGGCAAAAGTATATAGAAAGGGCTTTGATTTCTAGATCATCCATTGTAAATTTGTGTCCAAGTTCCTAGAAAATCTCAACTTTCTTGGTTCATCTTCCGTCATCACAATGTCGGGTAGTTAATAAGAAAAGTGATTAAAAAATAAAACCATAAGTAAACTGAATAAAACAGAATAGAATCTATGCCCAAACACATCTATAGGAAAAAAAAAACAAAAAAACAAAAACGAAATTATAAATTTCAGCGTTTCAAAATCTTCAGCGTTTTCTATCGGTGCATAATTATAACCGACGGTGGTTGTATTTTTATTTCTCCCCCCTCTTCTTCCTACACATATATATTTCCATAAAAAATTACTTTAGTCTGATGAAGTCTTTGTACAAGATGAAACGTATTACACATAAATTTTCCATTTTGTCATTCATTTGTCAAACATTGTTAAGTCATTTCGGGATCGAGCCTAACTTCCAGTAGTTATAAATATATTATGTTCCAATGTAGAACATAACTGTTTACTTCTTTTCTTCTAGCCTTGATAGAGTTCAAAATCATTTACAGTGTCTTGTGAAGTAAAACTTATTTTCTAATCTGCAACCTTTTTCAGACATACGCACTGTTGCATACTTTTTTCTACTTTATTGCTATTTCCATGGTAAATGCTCAGATGATTTCCATTCATTAGTTCCACCAGTTCAGACATTTACAGATCAGACATTTATACAGTCCTATGAGAGAAGGCCTATTCTCCACTCTGTAGATTCTTTTCCACAGACTCAACATTGCAAGCCCATCACTACTCTATCGCTATTTCCATGGCAAATGTTCAGATCAGCTCCATTGTTTAGTTCAGTTGTACATGTTCAAACCTTTGCAGCTAATACGCCATGCCATGTTCCACAAAGTACCTGACTACTTCTACCAGGTTTTATCTTTACAAGAGTCAGATTAGAAAAAAAAAAAAAAAACAAAAAAAAGCACCCCCCCAAAAAAAGCAAAAAAAAAAAAACCCCAAAAAACAACAAACAAAAACGGTGTATTGCTGACATGTCTGTGTCTGAGCTGGAGCTGCTCAAAGTCACTTTCCAGCCTTGATAGATTTCAAAATTATTAACACTATCTTGTCGGTGATAACTATTTCCCACTCAAATCCTATTTCCCACAGGCGCACCACTGAAAACCTGTCGCTTCTGTATGGCTGTTTTCGTGGCAAATATTCAGATGAGCTCCATTCTTTAGTTCTACCAGTTCAGCCCATTACAACTGGGTCATGCCACACCACTTCCACGAAGTCGAATCATCCTCATTTCCCCCAAGTTCCAAATCTAAGAAGAAAGTTCCACCCAGATTTTTCTCAAGATGACATTTTGTGGAACAAACCCATATTTGGATAATTCCCTGAACATGTCAATTTTGAGTTAAGAGTCAATCGTTATATATCTTCATTATCTTCATAATATTAAGATCAGACTACTTTCTCTTTCATTCGTATCACACACCTCATTCAGTATTATTATCTTAATTGCAACCATCGAGCTTGAGTGGCTCTTGAGCCTCTTATTGAAGGAACTTTACTTAAAAAACACATACAACAGATTATACTGAGTGACAAGGTACCAACACAAGACGTAATACCTGACAAGTTTTCCATTATCTACTGATTTACCTATATCAGGCAGGTTGTGGATTCATACCTTTGTTGCGCATGTTTGCACGTAGAAAATGCGATACTGAAATCGGAAGGCTCATTGGAATAGCAAAAGATGTCTTTCAAAAGCTAAGAAAAGTATTAAGAAAGAGAAAAATTTCGTATCTGACTTCTGTCATTATCGCAAAGACGGAGTATTGTTGTTATATCAGGGATGGAGCTGTTGAATCGGCACTTTTTAGCCTTGATGAAGTTCAAAATCGTTTATGCAGTTTTGTTATTTTCAGACTTATACAGCTAAAGAAAGGATCGTTCACATTGGTTCGATGAACCCGACTACTGTCGAATAATGAGGATGATGCAATGTTGCAAGCCTGCCACTACTGTATCGCTATTTCCATGGCAAATGCTCAGATGAGCGCTCTATTTGTTAGTTCTACAAATCCAGATTTTTACAGCTAGAACACAACATGCTATTTCCGTGGAGTCAATTTCCAAACTTCGAATTAGACAGCTTTTTTCCCCCAAGAACTACCACTTTGTGGAACTGACTCCTGCTTGAGTGCTTCCTTGAACACTACACATTCATTGTTATCTATGCTCATAATTTTCACTTCCTACCACCGTCTCTTTTATTAATATCGTGCACTTAATTCATCGTTACCCCCTTTTAAAAGCAACCGTCTAACCGTGTATTGAGTGAGATTTCATTTTAAAAAAATAGGGGCATAGGAAAGCTGCGCATTCCCTACCTAACGAGCTTGTCTAAATGCTTGGCAGAACAAGGATTAGGAGATATATCAAAAAGACGAAAAAACTATAAAGGATAGAAATAGTGGAGAGACATGGTCGCCCACGCCCTGAAAGTACAAACGAAGGGTTAATGGCACCAAAGGCATTTTGGGCATTTTGAGTAATGTTTAATTAGTTTATCTCTATCAATTTGGAAAATTTATGAGTAAAAAAGAAAAAAAGAAAAAAAAAAAGAAGAAATATAATCGTCTTGAACGATTAAAGAAAAAAACACTTGGTGCGCGCGGTCAGATTTTTCTTCAACATCATTTTTTACTATTCTGGGTCATTTCAGTTCTTCTTCTTCTTCTTCTTCTTCTTCTTCTATGCTCTTTGTCCCTTCAATTCTTCTTCTTCTTCTTCTTCTTCTTCGCCCCTTGTCCATTCAATTCTTCTTCTTCTTCTTCATGCTTTGTCCCTTCAATTCTTCTTCTTCTTCTTCTATGCTCCTTGTCCCTTCAATTCTTCTTCTTCTTCTTCTATGCTCCTTGTCCCTTCAATTCTTCTTCTTCTTCTTCTTCTTCTTCTTCGCCCCTTGTCCATTCAATTCTTCTTCTTCTTCTTCTTCGCCCCTTGTCCATTCAATTCTTCTTCTTCTTCTTCTTCGCCCCTTGTCCATTCAATTCTTCTTCTTCTTCTTCTTCTTCTTCTTCTATGCTCTTTGTCCTTTCAATTCTTCTTCTTCTTCTATGCTCTTTGTCCCTTCAATTCTTCTTCTTCTTCTTCGCCCTTGTCCATTCAATTCTTCTTCTTCTTCTTCTTCGCCCTTGTCCATTCAATTCTTCTTCTTCTTCTTCTTCTTCGCCCCCTTGTCCATTCAATTCTTCTTCTTCTTCTTCGCCCCTTGTCCATTCAATTCTTCTTCTTCTTCGCCCCTTGTCCATTCAATTCTTCTTCTTCTTCTTCTTCTTCGCCCCTTGTCCATTCAATTCTTCTTCTTCTTCTTCGCCCCTTGTCCATTCAATTCTTCTTCTTCTTCTTCTTCTTCGCCCCTTGTCCATTCAATTCTTCTTCTTCTTCTTCTTCGCCCCTTGTCCATTCAATTCTTCTTCTTCTTCTTCTTCTTCTTCTTCTTCTTCTATGCTCTTTGTCCTTTCAATTCTTCTTCTTCTTCTATGCTCTTTGTCCCTTCAATTCTTCTTCTTCTTCTTCTATGCTCTTTGTCCCTTCAATTCTTCTTCTTCTTCTTCTTCCCCTTGTCCATTCAATTCTTCTTCTTCTTCTTCTTCTATGCTCTTTGTCCTTCAATTCTTCTTCTTCTTCTTCTTCTTCTTCTTCTTCGCCCCTTGTCCATTCAATTCTTCTTCTTCTTCTTCTTCTTCTTCTTCGCCCCTTGTCCATTCAATTCTTCTTCTTCTTCTTCTTTTTCTTCGCCCCTTGTCCATTCAATTCTTCTTCTTCTTCTTCGCCCCTTGTCCATTCAATTCTTCTTCTTCTTCTTCTTCTTCTATGCTCTTTGTCCTTTCAATTCTTCTTCTTCTTCTATGCTCTTTGTCCCTTCAATTCTTCTTCTTCTTCTTCTTCTTCGCCCCTTGTCCATTCAATTCTTCTTCTTCTTCTTCTTCTTCTATGCTCTTTGTCCCTTCAATTCTTCTTCTTCTTCGCCCCTTGTCCATTCAATTCTTCTTCTTCTTCATCTTCCATGCTCTTTGTCCCTTCAATTCTTCTTCTTCTTCTTCTTCGCCCCTTGTCCATTCAATTCTTCTTCTTCTTCTTCTTCTTCTATGCTCTTTGTCCCTTCAATTCTTCTTCTTCTTCTTCTTCTTCGCCCCTTGTCCATTCAATTCTTCTTCTTCTTCGCCCCTTGTCCATTCAATTCTTCTTCTTCTTCTTCTATGCTCCTTGTCCCTTCAGTTCTTCTTCTTCTTCTTCTTCGCCCCTTGTCCATTCAATTCTTCTTCTTCTTCGCCCCTTGTCCATTCAATTCTTCTTCTTCTTCTTCGCCCCTTGTCCATTCAATTCTTCTTCTTCTTCTTCTTCGCCCCTTGTCCATTCAATTCTTCTTCTTCTTCTTCTTCTTCTTCTTCGCCCTTGTCCATTCAATTCTTCTTCTTCTTCTTCTTCTTCTATGCTCTTTTCTCCCTTCAATTCTTCTTCTTCTTCTTCTTCGCCCCTTGTCCATTCAATTCTTCTTCTTCTTCCCCTTGTCCTTCAATTCTTCTTCTTCTATCTTCTTCGCCCCTTGTCCATTCAATTCTTCTTCTTCTTCTTCTTCTTCTATGCTCTTTGTCCCTTCAATTCTTCTTCTTCTTCTTCTTCGCCCCTTGTCCATTCAATTCTTCTTCTTCTTGCCCCTTTCCCTTCAATTCTTCTTCTTCTTCTTCTATGCTCCTTGTCCCTTCAGTTCTTCTTCTTCTTCTTCTTCGCCCCTTGTCCATTCAATTCTTCTTCTTCTTCGCCCTTGTCCATTCAATTCTTCTTCTTCTTCTTCGCCCTTGTCCATTCAATTCTTCTTCTTCTTCCCCTTGTCCATTCAATTCTTCTTCTTCTTCTTCTGCTTCTTCTTCGCCCTTGTCCATTCAATTCTTCTTCTTCTGCTTCTTCTTCTATGCTCTTTGTCCCTTCAATTCTTCTTCTTCTTCTTCGCCCTTGTCCATTCAATTCTTCTTCTTCTTCTATGCTCTTTTGTCCCTTCAATTCTTCTTCTTCTTCTAAGCTCCTTTGTCCTTCAATTCTTCTTCTTCTTCTTCGCCCCTTGTCCATTCAATTCTTCTTCTTCTTCTTCTTCTTCTATTCCCTTTGTCCCTTCAATTCTTCTTCTTCTTCTTCTATGCTCCTTGTCCCTTCAATTCTTCTTCTTCTTCGCCCTTGTCCATTCAATTCTTCTTCTTCTTCTTCTTCTTCTTCTTCGCCCCTTGTCCATTCAATTCTTCTTCTTCTTCTATGCTCTTTGTCCCTTCAATTCTTCTTCTTCTTCTATGCTCCTTGTCCCTTCAATTCTTCTTCTTCTTCTTCTTCTTCTTCTTCGCCCCTTGTCCATTCAATTCTTCTTCTTCTTCTTCTTCTATGCTCTTTGTCCCTTCAATTCTTCTTCTTCTTCTTCGCCCCTTGTCCATTCAATTCTTCTTCTTCTTCTTCTTCTTCTATGCTCTTTGTCCATTCATTCTTCTTCTTCTTCTTCTTCTATTCCTTGTCCCTTCAATTCTTATTCTTCTTCTTCTTCGCCCTTGTCCATTCAATTTTCTTCTTCTTCTTCTTCTTCTATGCCCTTTGTCCCTTCAATTCTTCTTCTTCTTCTTCTATGCTCCTTGTCCCTTCAATTCTTCTTCTTCTTCGCCCCTTGTCCATTCAATTCTTCTTCTTCTTCTTCGCCCCTTGTCCATTCAATTCTTCTTCTTCTTCTTCTTCTTCGCCCCTTGTCCATTCAATTCTTCTTCTTCTTCTATGCTCCTTGTCCCTTCAATTCTTCTTCTTCTTCTTCTTCGCCCCTTGTCCATTCAATTCTTCTTCTTCTTCTTCTTCTATGCTCTTTGTCCCTTCAATTCTTCTTCTTCTTCTTCTTCTTCTTCTTCTATGCTCTTTGTCCCTTCAATTCTTCTTCTTCTTCTTCTTCTTCTATGCTCTTTGTCCCTTCAGTTCTTCACTTCTTATCCTTTGAAATTCCGAGCAAGGTTTGTCCTCTTATTATCTCCCTAAATCCATCTTCTGACGTCCATTTACACTCATTAGGCAGGTACTTCGCTGCCCTCCTCTCTCTCCCTATAGACTTCAGTATGTTCTGTGAGTGTTAAATTTCTCAAACCCTCTTTCCTTATCATTTGTTCCAGAAATTTCAGCTAACTCTTTCTAATCCAAACTTTGTGACCTAAGAACTTTCACGTTGCACACATGTCCCGTCCATGCTATTCTCAGTTTCCTTCTCTAGAACCACATCTCTGTTGCCGCGTCTACCCTTCAACTTTTATTGCCATATAGGAAGATTGATATTGCATAGCGTTTTAGCTTTCTTTGTTTCTCGTGAAATTTTCATGTTTCTTAAAGCTTTCTTCAGTTTTTGGAAAACGTCGTTCGCTATTCTAATGTACTTTCGAATTTCAGTGTACATTTGGCGTCGTCTATTTTAACACTTATCAGATAGTTAAATGTACGTACGTGCTAGATTCTGATATCTCCAATCCATTTCTTGCATCTTGTACTGTCAGTTGTACTAACGACCATACATTCTATTATGCAATTTATTGTTTACTACTGTAAAAATAGTTTTTAGTGTCAATTAAGAACTTAGAATCCTGGGTGGGTGGTCAGTATTTTTTTCTTCTTCTTTTATGTTCCGTGTCCTTTCAGGACGTGGGTGATAACTGCTGTTCCCTATCCTTTATTAGTCCTTTTATTATCACTATCATTTCCTGTTCTGCCGTCCAAGTCTGTTAAATCTGTTACGAGGGACGTCCAAAAAATTCTAAGCCTCACCCAGAAAGAGTTGGAGTCTCCCTTGACATCAATACATTCGGTGAGATTTTGGTTTATCTAAAGTAAATATATATAATATCGTTTTCCCATCATTTCTTTCTCGATGCTGTCCCTCATCTAAGGGACGACTTTTCTTAAGGCAAACAGACTGAATAGATGGATAGCAAGAGAAAGTTTATCGGGTATCGATATGGATGTTAGAATTAAATACGGGAACAGATATGCAGGTATCGTGATCGAGTGATAGATGCAGCTTTCGTAACAATTACAGTAATGGGCCAATCAGAAAGAAAACGTACAGCGATAGAAAGTGGGAGGGAGAGAGAGGAAGAGAGAGGGAGTAAGAGAGGGAGAGAGAGGAGGAGGAGGAGAGAGAGGGAGGGAGAGAGAGAGAGAGAGAGGAGAGAAAATGAATTCAAAATAGACTTTTCATCGGAGTTGGTAGCTTTAATCAGGAAACTCATCCATCGCTGTTAGACCCACTGCAAGCAATAAATCTTTCTGGTAATGATTGTGGAATCTCATTTATTATCGTTATTGTCTTGTCCTGCCAATGTTCCCAGGGTGCATCTAGCACGTGCTAAACCGTAGATATAGCCTTTCCATCATACATAGATATAACATTCTTGATGGAGATAGAACGAAAAGAAAGATGCCAGATTTACGGGAATTAGAGAGAGAGAGAGAGAATATATATATATATATATATATATATATATATTAAGCAAGCCCTAACTCTCAGTCCTCGTCGTCTCGATTGTAGTACGCTTATAATATCCTATTTTTATTGATTCGCCATCACCGTGTGTTAGACTGACAGCAGGGATCGAGGGCACTGTGCCCTTAACTGACACCAGACTTTCTCTAGCTTACCAACTGAGAACTTTAGAGATGACCTTTGATCTTTCGGATTCTTCTGTCAGTCGGTACTGCTTGTCACAAAAGCGTGATACAATTTTAAAAAGCCGACATTTACTTATAAAAAAAGACCTGCTTCTGGCTGGTGCGGACTTTAGTTTATTTCGGTATAGAGTCAAATTTTTTTTTTATAATTGATTGATTTGTTTTTTACGGTTTATAAACCTCTTGCAGGTTATTTAAAGCCAGAACATATTTTTAGATTGTAACAATTTTTTGTGATAATAATTATCTTAATGATACAGGTCTTCCTAATTAATCCATAGCTGGGGGAGAAGAGGTGGATTCATATCTTTCCCAAGCGTATTTGCGCGTAAGTGAATTATAATGAAGTCAACTGGGATTGGAACTCGGCTCTCCGATTAAAAATTCCGCGCTATTATCCATTGCACCGCCTGCACATCCAAGCTTACTGCACAATTCCAGCCGGTCACCTACGCAGGCTCGACGTTGCTTAACTTCTGGAACCGTTTTTTTCTTTCAACGTGATGTGGTTGTAAGCTTGGTCAAAAAGGGCTAGGAAGCAGAGCAATGTGAGAGTGTATTTGGCGAATTTTTAATGTGAAGAAAGCCTGCCTCGTATGTCCCTAAAATCAGTGTTCAGTATCCTCCATATTATTAATGAAAACTATCGTTGATGTTGGTGGGAAAATGAAAGGACTACGCCCACCAAACAGGCTTTATAAAATCCCCATTAATATTGGATTGCAACAACAGCGTTTTTTTTTTCAGTTGGTGGCGTTTCGTGTCACACTTGACTGAAATTTATGGCTCACACACACACATATATATATATATATATATATATATATATATATATATATATATATGTAGATTTAATAGGACAGTTAATAAAATTTGAGGAATAAAAAAACAACAAAATTGGCAATAAGTTTGATGATATTTATTATATGTTAACCTTATCAGGAGATTGAAGCATGAAGAGAAAATATTTTTAATTTCGCGCATGCGCGTTGTTTGTTTTTGATTTTGTCGACTGCACGGTATAATAGGGTCAGTTGGGCACCGTCTGTGAGAAAAAGAGCACCATGATGCAATTCGCTCCGCCATAAATTCGGAAAATGCATGTTGTACAGCTTGGCACTCGCGCCGGAAGCTCTAACATGAACATTTCAGAGTGTTTGGGTGCACTCTGAGGATAGAGCAGAGGATTCGAAAAGATTTGAATGATATATCCAGTCAGCATCTTGGTGTTTGGAATGATCACTAGTGATGGCGGCGTTATGCCTCCACTCTTCTTCCCACAGGGCCCCAGAATCAACACTGATGCTTACATCAAGTCCTTTGAGGAGATAGTGTCGTGCTGGTTTAAAAGGGCGGCTACTAAAAGATCCTATGTCTGGCGACAGGACTCTGCACCATGTCACACAAGCAGGAGAACCCAGTTATGGCTGACAAACAATTTCTGCGACCACATAACCCCTTACATGCGGCCACCTAGCTGCCCAGACTACAAACCCCTTGATTTGTATGTGTGGGGCACAGTTGAGCGAGATACCAACAAAACTCCTTGTAACACCAAAGATGAACTGAAGGCAAAGATTATGTCAGCATTCACCAACTTAAAAACAAGGAAACATAATGGGAAGTACTTCGATTTTATTGTAAAATCACTTTGACTCATTCATCCCTCAGAAAGATACAAAGAACTGGGACGGGGTTATCATGAAGTTGTCTCAAAGATGGCAAAACAAGTGGAACAAAATGTTACATATGTGGCTGAATCTCTCTCTCTCCCCCCTCTCTCTATATATATATATATATATATATATATATATGAACACATAATGGATCTTATACACAACAATTATGCATATCTTACAAATAACTATGAACACAAAAAAGAATCTTATAAATAGCAATTTATCAAACGCATTAGTCACCTACATAATAAATTCGAATGTCAGTGTGTCACCGTGTCACACTTTTTCAAATTACTCCTAGATGTCATAGTCCAACATATCATACCATTTTAGAATCAGACCGATTCTGTGAGCAAATTAAAAGAATTCCGGGCCGGATTCGGCCCCGCAATCCTGAAATTTTGGATTCCGAAGTTTTCATTACTGCCATTGTTTTCGGCGATTGTTTTACGTGATTTTTTTGCGATTAAATTTTTTAGTACGATAACAATTTTTATAACTTGGAAATGAATTTGGGAATAATCGAAATTAATTGCGAAATCCAGTAAAAGACACCCATGAAATAAAAATAATTGTTTAGACCGAAAGTAAACACCTAAGTACATCAAATTGTCTATCAAATTAAGTGGCGGTAGAACAATTATCGTTGAAATTTTAGAAGGTAAGCATCAATATTAATGTAGTACTTAAATGCAGCGATCAATTTTGAGTTCTTCTGTAGTTTATTACAGCCCATCGCATCTACTCCCCTACTTATTGTGATGAAGGCAGGGGCTAGCTTAAATGCCGTCTGCTAGTGAAGTGAATTGTATCATCGTGCTCTTTTTCTCACAGACGGTGCCCAACTGCGTCTACACTGTGCAGGCGAAAAAATGAAAAAACAAACAACGCGCATGCGCGAAATTAAAAATATAAAATTGTGACAATTTATCCATTGCATCCTGTATATATATAGGGTGTATCTCAAATATGTTTACAAACGTTTGGGGCGGGCTCCTGGCACCAAAACAAGGGCAAAATTCCATATAAACATATGTCCACAAATCCTTCGTTTTTGAGTTATTAAGTTTAAAGAAAGTTTACGGTAGATGGCGCTGTGTTGCCATGTAGTCTAAGTTATATTTGTCATTCGTGTACATGTGTGGCTAGTTTGTCTTCAACGTTTAAAGTGTGTAGTAATGAGTTGACTGAGAAATGTTCCGTTTTACAATGGCAAGATATTCATATCTTGAGCAAGCAGATATGATTTTTACATACGGCCGCGTGAATGGTAATGGACGCGATGCTGCACGTCTATATCAGATTGCGCTTCCAGACCGAAGGTAACCGAGTCATCCAAAGTTTGCTGCCGTATATCGTCGCGTTGCTGAGACAAACTGTGGATTGAGAAAGACCGAGATCCGTTCGTACACCTGTCCACGAAGATCACATTCTACAGGCCATCGGAGATGATCCAGGTATCAGCACACGTCAAGTGGCCCTAGATCTCATAATACCGCATGGAGGGTACTTCAAGAGCAACTCCTGTATCCGTATCAATTGCAACGTTTGCAGGGACTTTTGTCTTCTGATCACACATCGCGGGAGAACTTTTGCCGACGGTATA